TATCTATCTATCTATCTATCTATCTATCTATCTATCTATCTATCTATCTATCTATCTATCTATCTATCTATCTTCTAAGAAAGACTCTTGGAAGCTAACACAGAAAGGGGTCGAGTGAGACTGGTTTTCAAGCAGAAAACCTAGAGTGATGTTTGTTGTCTTTTCTGCTTAGGATGAGCTCACATGAGACCGATAAACTTGAATTTATAAACTCGTTTTTGTCCCAGTAGCCATCATTCCTAGCTCTGTGCTGCAGTAGCTAGTTTACATATCAAAAGCATCTAATGAAGGGCGTGCAAAGCCTTGAGGTTCGCCAATTCAGAACAAATTAATAACAAAGCTTCTTTTCTTAAGGTTTTTAAGGACATCATTTATAAAAGCGATAGTACTCGAGGTACCTGGTCACTTCGTGTAACAGTTCCAACCTTACTTTCTGCTCATCCCTAAAGAAAAGTGATTCTTGGAATTGCTAACCGAGTGTTCTTAGTTAAGCTTTTACAAAGGAGACTTTATTTGAAAAAAGCCATGCCTTCTCAGCTTCCTTCTGGCCACCTTTCCATCTCCACCTCACCTCCAGCAATACCTGGATCCTGAGATACGGAAGGTCCCTAACCTCTTGGCCTTTAGGAAGATTTTGAAGCCCTGCTACTTTTCCGCTGGGTGTTTGGGCTTGGAGGAAAAACTCTGATTTTATTTGTTCCTGATACTGTCTTTTCTAAATTAATAGGAGTAGGAATAGAGTAGAGTAGAGTAGAGCAAGAAAGTAAAGAATGGAATGTATTGGGATGAAGAGTTGGAAGGGACCTTGGAGGTCTTCTAGTCCAACCCCCTGCTTACTCAGGAAACCCTATAGCCGTGATGGCGAACCTGTGTGCCAGAATTGGCACTCAGCACCCTCTATGGACACGCTAGCCGTCACTTCAGCTCCACCACATATGCGTGCGTGCCTCCCCCAGCTAGCTGGTCTTCAAGTCTCTTGTTGCGCATGCGTGGGGTGTGTGCATGCGTGCGGGCGGGGCATATGCACGGGTGCCACGCACACATTGCATTTTGGGGGTTCGGGTGTGCTTTGGGCACTTGGTCTGGAAAAGGTTAGCCATCCCTGCTCTCTGGCACTTCAGGCAAAGGGTTGTCCAGTCTCTCCTTTAAAACTTCCAGTGTTGGAGCACCCAGAACCTCTGGAGGCAATTCAGTATTGAAACACAGGATTCTTTCTTGGCCTGGTGTGGTTGGGCACACAAGGAATGTGTCCCCGGTGCATAAGCGCTCAACGCACATAAAAGCTATAAGTGATGAATCGTGATCCTAGTCATCCTAATACCACTCGCCATGAGTTTTCTAAATTAATAAACAATCCGTATGATACCAGGGAGCAATAGGGTTGCAGCCCATCATTTGCCCGACTTGCTTAGCACCTTCAAATCAAAGGACTCCTCCTGTCTTCGGTAGAAAGATAGAAACCCACTTCAGGAATATCGAGGTCCAGCATTCACACAAAGCAGTTGAGTTCTTGCCTTTGGATTGTCATAAACCTTCACATCTTGCTTAGATTAACTGGCCCATGTGGGCCTCTGCAACAACTGGGATCTGGGCAGCTGTGCCACTGGGCATCCTTCCCGCATCATTGGGATCATAGTGATGGAGACTTTTAAGAAGAGACCGGGCCGCCATTATGTTCAGAAATAGTAGAGGTCTCCTGCGTGAACAGGGGGTTGAACTAGATGACCTCCGAGGCCCCTTCCAACTCTTATGACTGTCACTGAACCACACTAGCTTACTTGAGCATGTTGTAACAAACATTTTCCGTCCACGAAAAAAATCTATTTGCTTCAGTGAAAAGCGGGTTGCTTTTTACTAATGGGGGAAAGATAAATATGTGTGTATTCTTCCCGCTTTAGTTCCCAGCCGCCTTCGAATTCAACGAGCTGTTTTTGATCAACATTTTGGATCACCTGTACAGCTGTCTGTTCGGCACCTTTTTGTACAACTCAGAACATCAGCGAGTGAAAGAGGTAAAACTGTCCGTGTGCGTGATGATGATTTGATAAAACGGCGAGGAAGAAAATTTCGGGGTTATTTTTTCCTTTTGCTGTAGAGCAGGGATATCCGCGCTTGGCCGCTTGAAGACTCTGCTGGCTGGGGAATTCTGGGAGTTGAAGTCCGCAGGTCTCCCAATGGCTAGATGTCAACACTCCTCCTGTAGAACTTGAAAAGATTCAAATGTTCATCTCTCACTTGAAGTGGGAAACGGCGCCAAACGCCATAAACCCAGCGCTGAAGTCTTTGTCGTGAACACAATTCCTTCCCTTAAGAGCAATTAACGTTTCTAGCTGAAACGACCAGCTTAAGGCCATAATCCGACACTGAAGTGTTTGGAGTTTGATGTTTCTCCTGGTGGGTTAGATGTCTACATTTTGGGTCATAAAATGTTCCTCATGGCGCCGACTGTAAGAATCCTCGGTTTTCAGGACTAGAAGTTGCAAACCGGGTAAAAATGGAGGGTTTACCTTTACTGAGTCCCCATTGACCGTGTGGGACCAAAGCCATCCAAAAGCTCCAGCTACATAGGATTTCTCTCAAATGTGTGAGAGCAGGCAGGGTCCTTTAAAACAGGACTCCCCAATCTTCCGGACCTCAGGGACCACTAAATTCAGAATTTTAAATCCTTTGGACCACTAATAAAATCTGCCTAATGACCGGCTGTGTGAGCATAGTTAGGTGGTCATGTGACTGGGTGGGCGTGACCAACTCGATGTCACTCATGTCGAGGGGCGCCTCGCTGGCCTCTCCTCGCCCCTCCGCTCCCAGCCACTCCTCGCCTGCCTGCCCGGGCTCCTTGGGGCCCCAACAGGAAACAATTATTGGAACTAAGCAGCCAAGAGTTGGCAAAACAGCTCAGTTCAAATTGGATCTGGCCGAGAAGGAGGCTCAGCAGAA